CATCATTAGCCTGAACTAATTACATTTAAAATATTATTTTAGTATATATTATTTTAGTAGATTCACTTCACTTTTGACAAAACCCATCATATTGTCAAGAAATTCCACAAAAATTACTGAACAGAAACACTCTAATGTGACAGTAGTCATATTAAATTACTCTAGGGACTCTTATTAATTCACTCTAGGGACAAAGAGTTTTAACTCTCTTTAACAGGACAATAATAACAGTTGAAACATCTGTGTATATAAAATATCTTACTAGCAAGACCTTAGCTTTGTATTTTTACCTCAGTTTCTGCCTGGTAAATTATGAAAGATGATTTTTACAGGTTGTGTACTATTGGAATAGTTAACCATTTTTCTTCTGCTTTTATTTGCCGACATCCCATTTTAAGCACATAAAAAAATGTCAGTTTTCCTAAAATACTAATCATAAAACATATGCATTATTACTTAAGTCCTTGGGTGTTTGAGAAGTGGTTTGTAAGCATATGGTTTAACATTAAAGCAGACCTACAATGTTGCATAAAACCTAAAGAGTAATGACTTACCTGATTTAGGCCTGAGTTTCACTTCTGCTCTGTCTTGACTGAAACGCAGCACATGGAGCTTCAAGGGCATCTGCATCACCCATTTAACAGATTCTGCAAGCAGAGAATTAAGATGGTCCTTGAATTTTCAAATTTGCTGAATTATGATTTGATTATTACATTTTGCAGGAGTTCAAAGTTACATATATATATGGCACAAAATTCTGATTTTACCACAGGAGTCATATGAACAACCTTTCTTACTCTCAGACATGAGGACATGCAGTATTTTGCTAGAAGCAGCAAGACTGGGAAACAAACAGCTCTCTCTGGACATGAGCTGGGATGAAAGGGGACAACAGGGTTTCTTTAAGCCCACTTGGCAGCAGAACTGCTTTCTCCTGCCTCAAGAATGCTCTGCAGAACAAGATCTCATGGGGAGCAGAGGGAGGCTTGGGAAGATGAGCAGGGCTCCAGGGAGCAAATGATTCTGGGATATAGGATAGAACAGCAGGGATAGGAAGCATCTCTTGCTTTCTTCCTTTCCCTTCCCAAGGCTGCCATAACTCTCTACTGCCATAACTTTTGTTCCTTTTTTGAATGAATAAAACATCTACTGCTACATCAGTCTGGTTCCCACAAAGAATTTATCCTATTTCTTTCCCTTCCATCTTCTGTGCTTCCTTACATATGCCATTTCTCCTATGCCTCTGTCTCCCTAATTGTATGAATTAGAGAACAGATTAGGGTCTAGAAGCAGTGAGGTTTGTACCAGATACCAGATCTGCTCTTCTTGCACCACTCTGTTAGATTTAAGGCAAAGGCTCTTTGATACTGTCACCCTTTCCTGTTCATAGATCACCAGATGAGCAGCACGCCAGCAATGGTCCTTAAATTGCATAAGTACCAGTCTCCTACTAATATACTCAAAAACAGTTCTGATTCTACCTGGAGCTTGTCTTTAACAGCAGAGCTCTTCCAACAGAAAAGTACTACACACTCTGGGGGCATGTGCCAAGAGATGGCACAGTGGAATGGAATAATGGTTTCCTACCTACAGAAGTATTTATAATTTTTACTTCCAAAGCATATTAAAAAAATTATAACGGCCTCTCCCTCAAGGCAGGAAGATTTCCAAAAGTTATGCAAGCTTTTCTTTCACATAGAATGGCTTAGGCTTCAAAAAGAACATCAGACCAAATACCTTTGCTGTAGCTATGTTTGTATGAAGGTAAAACAGCCATAATTATTCCCTGCAACAGTGGCAGGCTTTTGTCTGCCCTTCTCCTATTTTACAACAATTGGTTGCTGTCTGGACATTTGGTTTTTTTTCAAGAAATGAAAAGGTAGATGCAATTTGCAAACCATATCCTCCCCTTCACATCAGGGGCTACTCTGAATGTTGGTTAAGGGAGGGTTCAATACGCATGCTCATTATTTCTAGACAATGATTGCCTTCTGCAACTACAGGTGTTGTCATTTAGCTAATTAAACCCAGGTTGTCCCAAATCCTGCAAATGAGAGATTCAGGCAGCTGAATTACCTAATTTGACTCTGCAGTGATCATGTGAGAAAGTGGAGGTCTAATTAACAGTAGAATAATAATTTGGTTCTATCCATATTCATTAACACTCTCAGTCTGTTTGTTAGACACATCAGGTAGCATGCTGTAAGACCCACAACATTCTTGTTCTCCATCAGGAAAAAAAGAAGTTAAAGCAAAATCCAAGAAAATCCACCCATGTAGGTTATTTTTTGTATTTTCCCAAAAGAGTGAACACTCTCCTAGCTAAAAGGAAAAATGTATCTGCCTAACTCTGCTAACATTGCAGAGAAGCGAAGTGAGTCTGAAAAAGGGGTACCAATTAACATCACTTTGTAGTCTTTTACAGCAGGTGTGGTACTAAATGCCAGCACAGCCTGAACATCACACCTGCTCAGGTCTAATTAATACCATTAAGGTATTAGTGTCTAGCTCACACAAACCACCCCCCCCACCCCCCATGGATCCCTGTGACCTGCATTAACTTTAGGACTTCAGTGAAAGTTTCCAATATAATTTTATGCACAATTAAGGCTACAAAGAATATAGATGTGCTGGTTTCAGTACCTGAAACTGCTTTTCCTAAAAGAGATCACTTGACTTCCTGCCAGTTGCAGTGCTGCCATCAGTATGCTAAATGTACCGTGTGTCTTCTTAAAATAGCAGCATCCTCTGCAGCCCTGGCCCAGCAGGCAGAATCTCAGTTGTTCTGAACTGATTTATCTGATCAGGTGTCAGAAGCTGAACATCAGACCTAAGCTTCGTCCTCAGCTAACTGGGATGACAGCATTGCTCATTCCCTTAGCCATAACAATGAGCATCAGAGGAGGAACATGATTCAGGCCACCAGAACATACCAGGTCCAAAGCACAGAAATGATGTCTTTATAGCTGGAGATGACCAAATCCTAATAAAGAACAGAACAATTCCCAGGAAATATTTTTTTTTTCAGCATCAGAAAACGAGATTCACAGTGCACTATGTAAGGAAAACTTACAACCTGTTTCTTTCTCCTTTGCCCCATGACTGATTTATGAGTCAGAATATGACAAAGCTAATGGCTAAAAAAAAAAAAAAAAAAAAAAAAAAAAAAAAGAAAAAGCCATGCACAAGGATTCTGCCACAGTAATGTGGGAGCACAAGTCTTCTGTTTGAAATAAGGGATAGTCTCTCCACTGGAAAGAAGAGTAGTATTCAGGAAAACTGCATTTCAGCTCCTGTAATTGACCTAGTGGCAGCAGAAAGGCAAGACAAAAATATGGGGGAAAGCAAAAAAAAACAAGGGAATCAATGGCATGTATTTTTTGACTACCTAAAATGTCTAGTCTTCTGTGATTTAGAAAAATAATTAGAAATATGCTGATGCTCTAACATGCAATTGTTCTGATGCTCTATCACTCTCCTGGGCTTCCAGCAACTGGCTGATTTACAGAGATAAGGAGACTGTTTTAACACTACAAGTGCAAAAAACTGTAAGTTAATTGTAATTCCTCATCATTTATTGCTGTTGCTTTGAATGCTCTTTAATGTTACAATCAAGAGAAACCAGCCATAAACACCTACATTGTTTGTTTTGTTGGGTTGGGGTTTTTTTTTAATATATTTCTTTCTAAAGCTGAAGGAATCCATCAGTGATAGTGAAAGAGAGAATTGTAAACATCTTTCTGATAATTTTCAAAAATCTGAGATAAAGAAACAGGCAACAAAAATGTCTTGGAACCGAAAGCAGAGAAACAGCCAAGCCCTTCCTCAGCACAGCTCATTTGGGTATTGCTTCTCTTAGACTGGTAGCCAATACTAATGAGAGCATTAAATAGCAAGGGAAAACAGCAAGAAGAAATCAAGCCTCAGAAAAAGCCTCAAGAAAGAAGGGTATTGATAAAATGAGCATAATGACACATTAACTCTACCATCCAAGGTCAGACTGAATGTACCCCCTCATTGCAACAGCTAAGCGGACACATTGCAACACGAACAGTGAACTTTCCCCATGGCAAATACAACAGCCAGCACAAAAATAACAGTTTTTACACAGCCTGCTAGCTTTGCTCTTATTCTGAAACTCTCCATTTCTCACTGTCCACATCAGCAGATACAGGGTGCTTCAGCTGCATTATCTGCTGGCTTTGATGGTGTGTACAATTACAGGGTTTTGCCCATTTACTAAGATATACTCTGCCACCCTTTAGAAGTGATCTCTCTCCCCCACTATTGAAATAGCAGATCACAGACTCTGAAAAGACTATCAAAGAAAGGATTTGACTTCTTTCTCTGCTTATGCACATTTCCCTTTCCCAGCTAGAGCTGGCAGCAGACAGGTTTAATTCAACTCCCCTTAATTGCACTGGCAGCTCACTTAGATTCACTGACTTCAGATGAAGCACAATTAAGAGAATAGTGGATAATTCAAAGTGTAGAATTCTTTTTCTCCTAAAACCTGTGCAATTAATCTCTTCAACCTAACTCACAGACATACCTTGGAATGTATTGCTTTTTCTACCATGCATGCAAGAAAGCTGTTAATGTTGATGTTTGACATCTTTTAGGATTTTCTTTCTAAAATATTTATCAGTATAACTCCGTGGAGAGCTGCACATTATTGTGTAGGTTTAGGATCAATTTCTGTGGAATTATTTTGGGAAAACTACAACTAATTAATATAAATAGTGAATTTGCTCTTGTGTTCAGACAGCTGTAAAATTCTAATCTTCATATAACATGAACACACTCTGATGATTTTTCTGCCAGGGAGCAAATACAGGGCATTTTCCAAAGAGCTTTAATGGATGAGATGAAGGATGAATGTTTGAAATAGATAAAGGAAAATAATGGGGAGGGGAAAGGGGAGAGGGGGGAGGGAAAGTGAAGGCTTGCTTTTTTTCCCAAATGCTGATGTTTGCAGCAAGATATTAAATTCTTCTAAGACTCAAATTATGAGTAATTGAGACAATTCTCATATCCTCCTTGTGCCTATATAGCACTTATGAAAGAAAGATATATTTCTGTGACAGAACACAGACTTCCTCTGCTTCACCAGAATGAGTAAGGGAGAAAACAAAACCCTCTTTGGAGACTGTCTCTCTTGCATGAACTCTACTTACCTAATCAGTTCATTTTAAGGCAAACGACTGCAGGTAGCAATCCCACATGTGGAAAATTATTCCCAAGCATGGGAAATGGACAATAGAAATTCAAAACTAGTAACTGGACGTTCACTTAAATATTGCATTAATAAAAGCTTTCTAGAATTAATAATATTATCAATCATAACATTATTAATAACACTGTTTTGGTCAAACTCTAACTTTCCTATTCACTTCTTTTCCAGATAAATCTGCATTGACTTTCATAAAAGGTTACTATATGGAGAAACCCTCTGGGATTCCTTTCTTCAGGTAGTACATGTAGCTTTCAAATTAACACACATGCCTTTTTTTATTCATTTTATCACTTGTATATAAAGAAAACAAACATTTTGAGATAAGGTCTACTGCTTCTCCCATGGAACAAATGCATTTCACAGCTCTGACTTTAGCTTTTGAAGTACAATGCGCTGCACAATTATTTGGAAAAACAAAGCACACAGAGCAACAGAGGTACAACTAACACAGAATATGCTTCTTCTAACTCAGGCAAACCCATACAGGGATGTTGCAGCCTAAATTGCAGAACAAGCACTGCCAGCCTCATCGAACACCCCAAAACCTCAAGCTATCCACTGCCACTCATTGCTGAGGAAATCCAAAGTACCTGGCTTTGGGATAGCTCAGCAAGGCCTTGAGCACATTTTCTCTTTGTACCTTCCATTTCAGAACAGCAGGGCCCCTGTGATGGAGATCTCCTGGAGCACAACCTGAACAGATCCACACTGGAGCTGGCTGCAGCTTGCAGCTCCACAGGGCTAAAATGTGTTGTTTTACTTAATCTTCACTGCACAGATGCATTCCAGCACCAACAGTGCTGTTGCAGATATTAAGAGTTTTGATAATCGAACAAGAAAATGCTTATTGTCAGCTGTGGTGCCAGAACACTGGGGGAGTGAAGCTGAGGGAGAAGAATTTAATTTAAAATGCTGACTCTTAACTTCAGTTCTGGCTTGCCCCCTCCTTTTCTTCATTTGCATTACCAAACCAAAATAAGATTTCTATGTGTGTTTTAGTTTCTGTGGTTTTGAGAGAAAAGAAAAAAACCTGTTCTTCACCTACAAAATCCACTGACTGATGAGAAGGATGCTAAGGGTATCCTATGGTCTAGTGAGAAGATGAACAGCAGGATTCACTTCACTTTGTTTGACACAACAAAGAGTAGTTGAAAATCACATTTGGCTTTTCTCAAGCTTTCAGAAATTATATTAAAGCATCTTTCTGCCTTTGCTCCTCTATAAATTTGTAGAGTCAATGCTACATCTTTTCCCCCACTTCCACCAAAGAGATAGGAATGCAGCTTTCTTCCTCTTTTTGTGGACTTGACCCTTTGGAGAAGAGTTATTTACACCATTCTAAAATTCTAAAATTGTGAAAGTTTTCCTGTTTCATGTCTATCATAGAGAATGCAAAGTATTCCTATCTAATACAAATTCTGCAATTTGGGATTTCCATATCTTCACATGCTGGCAACAGGAAATTATGAAATTCATCTTGCAACAGACAACACTGTACTACTGTTGTATCAAGTAAATTTTTTTGTTTGTTTTGGAGTTTTTAAGCTATGGAGTGTTGTTTTGAATTGAAATAAATACATGAAGAGAAAAAATACTTTTTATGTATTTCAGTTGTTTGTAGCTATACAAATAGAAATTAATAAATGTCATTATTTGCAAAAAGCAGCTTAACACTAGTTTAAAGAAGTATATAGGATCCTAGGCTAGTGTTATCCTGGATTTTAATTATAACCAAAGAGAAATATAAATACATATTTAAAACCCTTTAATGTTTGTCTCTCAAACACATACATGCACGAATCCTGAAACCAGAAACAAAAAACTTCTCTGCTGGTCCCAACATTGACATATTCTATGAAATCTTGCTTTAGTTGTTATTTTTGTATAATATCTCTGCACTTACATAGCACTTTTCTATGGATATTATAGTTCTGTGGTCTTTAGGACAACATCGCAGATACTTCCCTCAAAAGAACTGGTTTTCAAAAATTTTTTTTTCAGACGGGGAATCTGGTATAAAGAAAATTTTCCCCTCTTGCTTCATGGCATATTTCATTCTGAAAACCTAATCTATTTTCCACGATGGCAACATCACTGAACCTGAGTTTTATTAATGTCCATATGACTGAGAGGGGGCTAATGAAAACATAACCTCAAAACAAACCACCACCACCACAAAAACCCCCAAAAACCCACAAACAAAAAACCACCAAAACTCCACAAAACCCCTAAACTAGTAGGGCTTCCAGGCAACTCAGAGTTTTGCTTTTCATCTTTACATAGGCTTTTAGTTCTAAAAAAGATCAAACTTTTTCTAGCTATAACATCAAAGAAGACAAATTCTGAGATTAAGTAGAACAATTTTTCCATGGAACACTTTTTTAAATACAGCACAGTGTCTACAACCTAAAAATGCACTTTAACAGAACCAATATTCTTTTTTTAGTAAAAAACTGCCAAAATTTATTTTCCACAAAAGAATTTATAAAGCACAGCCATCCAATTTAGAGTCATTAGCATATGCTAAACCACTAATTGAGGAACTTTTCTCTTTGCTTCTACTGTTAATGGAACAAATACTCAGTAATGAGAGCAGGTTTCCAAAAGTTTTCCTACCAATTTCCCAGCAGTCTGAAGGCCCTCCACGTACATACTGTGGAAGCCTCAACACAGAGCAGATTAGCTGTGTTGCTATGGAAGAGCAGGCTCTCTACATGGATACTGTAAGAGGAAAAAACCCAAACCTATTCCTATTTCCTTCAAAAAAAACTTTACTGAATCTTTTTCCAAATAATTTATTCAATAAGCTGATTCACACACTTAGGGTTTTCCAATATTTCACGTAAAAATAAACCCTAAAAATATTAAGGCTTCTTCCTGGCTCACTTTGATGTTGTTTTTGAAGTACATTTCTGAGGACTGTAATAGAGTATTTTCTTAAGATGTATGGCTGGCTGGTTAGCCAAGGGTAGGATTTTGCATTGTCTGTCTGAATCTATCCACTAAGATCTACACTCTGAGAATGATTCTTACATAAGCTATTTTTTCCACAAAAAAAGATGTATATGAAATAGTTTCTCCACTCTGAAAAGCAAGGATTAGAACTTCACATTCTTGCATGAAATTGTCTAACAACTTGGAAACCAACCCACCTTGCCATGGAAAAGATCACAGGGCAGATATTATCTGTGCCATTTAAGTAAGAAATATAAGATCAAGCTTTACAGGTAAAATAAAACCAAATCAAATCAAACCAAAACAAACAAACAAACAAACAAAAAACCACAAAAAAACCACAAAAAAACCCAACAACAAAAAACCCGTACTGACTAATCACTAGAGGTTCATATCAGAGACAAGTATTAGCTAAATGTGTGCCTAGTTCCTGCCTCAGTAGTAAATAGAGATCATGTACATACTCACTCCAATACACAACAGGATTACAGAATCATTTCCATGACACATACATTTTCAGACAAATCTACTTGATTTAATCCAGGGAACTGAAGTATCTGCTTTAAAAATACTTTAAATTATAAAGACTGTCAAAACCAGTAGTCTTTTTCAGTAGTCTTTTTGGAGTTATTAAAAAAACAAAACAAAGTAAAAAAAAACCAACCATATGCAAAAAAGCTAAATAAATACATTAAGACTTTGTTCTCCCTTTCACCTACATAATATGCACTGTCACTTTGCCATGAATAAATAAAAAGGATTAAAACTGCATCTGTTTCCCCCACAGATTAAGAAGATTGCTGAAAGGCAAAGTAGAAGCTTGCTTCTCTACATGTCAGCTCTCATATAAAACATCCTGTAGCAACAGGACAACTGTGATGAAAGCTGAATGCCAACCTTCCAGCTGAAAACAAATCTTGCTGGGAAATTAGCTGAAAGGGACACCACAGTTACCATGATTGTCTTTGTTTGTCACATGCCACACTAATAATTTGTTACACAGTCATAACACTACCAAAGCATAATTTAAAAGTATGTGTTTGTTTACCTGCAAAGACAAGAAATACACATATTAAAATCTTTTTGTTTTTGTAGATGTTTGATAGCTTGGAGGAAAGCATCCAACAGAACCTGGTATTTAAAGAAGAGCCTTTCAAATTATGATAACATCTTGCATGTATTATTTATCTTCTACAGCTTAACACGGAAATACTTTTAGGTCTGTAAACCAGGCAAGAGTGACCGTGAGCTGTGTGCCCTGATGATAACAGCACTTGATGCCAGGCATTTTGTCTAGTCTACTACTATGCCATTTCATGCTTTTTGAGCTTGATGCACGTTTCTTTTTGTAAAATTGATTGCATTATTCCTCTGGAAACATTAAACATATGTCAAAAGCTGCAGCACAACTTACTGAGGAAAAAAATATAGTAAAATGGTCTAGTATTTTATACATAAATGACTGTTGACTTTGGATTTAACCATGCACTTGTTAAACAAATACAAAAAATTATAATTTATGATCTATTCTAATTTATTATATGTTCTTGAGCTTTTAATTTTGCTCTGAATTTTGTTATTATTAGCTATAAGAACATGCAGCAAATCTGACTTTTTCCATTGACAACTTAATTTAGGGATTTTAAATTAAATGGCTATTTTTTCTTTTTTAATAAGAGGGAAATCTTCCAGATTCAGCTCTGACCATACACCATTTCATGTTAAATAAAGCCAAGAAAAGCCTAAAAACTTAAATTACCACCAGGATTCAACAATTTTTCTTCTCTGAAAAATATTTACAGCTTGGTTTCCCCTAAATTTGTGGGGACTGGGAGAGTGGTTGGGTTGGTTTTTTTGGGCATCTTTTGCAGAAGCCAAAGGACCAGGCTGAGGAAAGTGGGTGGAGGCTGTAAAATAGTCCTTCCATAGATGCCTCTGTATGACAGCCAAAAGCCACAGGGCTGTTTTCTGGTTTCATTACAGTCTCTACTCCTGCCGTTCACTTGTAAAGCTGACAGCACAAATGGGGCCACTCCATGCTGGACTTCACGTAAGTATTGGGATAAGAATCATTCCTCTGAGTGTGCTGTGCCGTCACAGAGACCAGGGCCCTCTCTGAACTCCATCTGACACACTGCCCTTTGGGAAGCCAGGAGCTTTCAAAGCCACATAAGCCCTCTTCCAGTGTAACCAACCACACACATAGAGGTTTTAGGCAAAAAGCAAACAGCCCTGACTCTTTCAGCTAACACATCAATTTAGGGGATGTAGCTTCCATTACTGTTGTCAGGAAGCATCAAAAGGCATGAAGGCACCAGAATAGATCAAACATCCAGCTATGTCTTGCTGAGAGCTATATATATATATACTTCAGAGAGGGGTATGGCTGGTCAGAAGAGCAACAGAAGGCAACACAGGGTGGGTCAGGACACAAGCAAGGCTTTTTAGCAGGTGGTCTAAAGACTTCAACGAGCACCTGAGCCTGAGTTCATCTCTGGCAGCCCTCAGAAAGAATCAGTTCCTCTTAACCCTGTCAAAATAGGAAAAACAATAAACCTGAGTAAATTAATTGAAACTATTAGTAATGTTTTAATTTGTTTTTATTTTGAGCCTGTATGAGGTATAAGCCAGGAGCTACAGCTTCTCTCACACTGTTCTTGCTTCCCTCCCCACACTACTTTTGAAAGCACAGCACAGATGCTTTCCCAGCAGTGTGTTGTTCTGCTGCCAATTCCTTTGTCTTGCTTGCACTGTCACCAACCGTACTCTTCTGGGGGTAGCCTTTTCTGTTTCTAACAAGATGTATTTCACAAATCACAAATTAAAGCACCGCAACAGGTCTCCTGACATGAACAGAATAATTGTGCCTGCTGGAGTACAAGCACAAAGGAGGAAGAGATTCATTGCCAACAGACATACACAACTAGAAAGAGAAAAACTGCAAAAAATTAATTTTAAAACCTGGTTATGTGGTAGCTCTAGAAGAAATATCAAAGAGATGGCCTTAATATAGAAGTGAAGACACTACAATGGCCATAACACACATGCTACTTCATGTCTCTCCAAACCAGAGTAAGCTGGGTATAGGATGCCTAATTACTTTGAGTCACATTGCTCTCAAAATATTTTGCCACATTTTATAAAAACATGTGAAATGGTGAAATATTTAAATCATGCCAGATCCCTCTTAAATGGGAACTACTCTTTCTTGAGTGCTTAAGCTACTTCTAGAAACGAGAAGTTTAATATCTTTAATATTAACAGCAAATTAATCTCTAAATAAAATATTTTACAGCTACTCAGTTTTTTGAATGTAAATCTAAATGAGCTACTTTGTTCACATCAGTTCAAGGAAAAGAATAATTTGTTACATGTGTTTTGGGATCTGTGTTAACTCTCCAAAACATATTGTGAAAGTTATCCCAGATTCCTTATTAGCAAATTTAAATAAAGCAGTATTACTTTTTCTGTGAAGATCCTTTTCCATTTGCATGTTCTTTGATGCTACTTTCTGTATTATAGGTTTCTCATTCATATTTACAGATGCAGTATGCAGTATAACATTTCAAGACCAAAGCTGAAAGAAAAAACAAACACACACATTCAATTCATTAAAATTCCTCTTCGGT